CCGAATACATCGTTGGAAACATGTTGTTTGATGTGTAAACAGTAGTGATATAAAGCGAATATGTGTACTGCTGAATTATCATTAATTCGAAGAAATTTAGACTCAATTGTTGGACTTTAGACTATAAAGTCGGCAATGTTAGGAAAATACAAACAACTACGGGTTGTTTAAAAGTAGTGATACATAAAGACGAAATTATTTTGAAGGTATGTTTTAAACAATCACTGACAGAGGTCCGAAAAGGTGGAGAAAATATAAAGTTCTAAATGCAAAAAACCATCTTGCACAGCTGAATATGTACAATAATATTGAGTTATTGTGAAAATATTTAGTAATTTTTATACATTGTGTAAAGTATTTGGATCCAGTGAGGTAAAGCAGCAGTGCTAAGAATAAAAGTTATTATGGAGCAGCTAAAACGAAAATTGAAGTTTAAATTAAATTCTGAAACAGCAAAAAGACATAATCCAATTCAATTTACAGCAAAAACCGTAATTTTGATTAATAATAACGTAAATAGTTTTGATTACAGTAGCAGTTGTAGAGCAATTCCATAACGACTTTCTACTGGAGATGGTCTATATATAATTGCAAATAACATACATACATAATTGCAAATAATCATATATCCATGAAAACGCTTTTTTAAATATGTAGTTTTATTTTAAATTATTATACTGGACATGTTTTGAATTCATTATTAATATTATAATTGATATATTGTAATTGATTTAATACACTAAACAACCATGGAAGACTGTTACAACGTAAATAAGAAAATTGTTTTAATTTTAACAAAATCCCAATAAGAAAAAAACAAAAAAATTAGACGTAATTTAAATCGTACTCGAACAATAACCTAAATTACTTTAATTTATTATTATATTATTAGAAATGTAAAGTTTATAGAAAGCAACTATTTTGTAAAAGATTTAAAAAGGAGACTTAAAAAGAATTACCATAAAACCATTATTTAGAAACTTGTAAAATGTGTTTTATATTAAATACATACAAAATACATTAAAAATAAGTTTACTTTAACTGATTAGCTGATATGCCTTAATCACCAAAACACTAGTCATAACTAGTAGTATGCCTGCTGTTTATCTTCGAACCTTCCATACAGTAAGACTTGATTGAAAAATTTCCTAAAAGTAGCTATTTGGAAGCATAACTATAAAATTAATGTCTAACAATCTGTATTGCAGTGCGACAGAATTAAAATTAGGTGATCTTAATTCAGTGTTATCATCAATTGATACTAAGCATCTAAGTGATATATGTGCAGTCCTCCAAATATCTCAAAAACTTTAATAGAGTATGAAATAAATGAGCTGGAAGGCTCCATTTCATTATTCGTGTTTCAGTTTTGGGACTTTCAAATACCACACTACAAAATATTCATAAAAGAACATGTTTAAGGTTCTTAAAAATGTTTGTTTCATATCATGTATATTTATCTTATATATATAATTCTTCTGTACGTGTGTTGACAGTGAACTCCTCCTAAACGGCTGAACCGATTTTGATGAAATTTTTTTTGTGTGTTCAAGTGGATTCAAGGAAGGTTTAGATTCACAATTTGGCCCACTGGATAATGTGTTTTTAATCAATTTTTTATATTTTGGTATCCATATACATTTATATTAAAAATTTAAAATTTATCCATGCTTACTTTGATTTGTTTAAAAAGTTTAAAATCTCTAAAATATATTGTAAAACTGACGTTGCATAGCTTAAGTGCATTTAAATTCCGCAGCATAATTATAGGTGAGCCAATTTTTAATCTTAAGTTATGTGGTGGTATTCCTGGTAAATCCAGCGAATTCAAAAATTCGACACACAAAAAAGAAGAATTATATATATAAAGATATAAATATCCTACAAAAAACAATGCCACGTCTTCGTGGACAAGGAGGAAATATTGGTCGACGGACTCGGAATTCACAATTACTCCAGAACCGTCGCGACGGTTAAATAGATCGGCAGAAAACAATGAAGATGTAAGAAACCAGCACGTACAATTACACGTGCTAATCAAAGTCAAGAGCAACGCAACGAACGCCAGGAAAATTAATTGGAAGGGGAAACAACGTTCGCCGGGTCAGCTAGTTACACATATAAAAATAGTAATCATATTTAGATTTTAGTAAAATCGGGAATTTGCAAAAAACTTATATACAATTTTTGAATGACGAAACTTTGTTAATTTCTTCAGGACTAATGTTTAATAAACTAATAATTATTTATATTTCATAGATATTTGATTTGTTTTTATTTCAAGGTTTAAGAAAGCTTAATAAAAAAATAACGAAACTATTATACATTATTTAAATAATGAAATAACGTAGCCGCCCAAATACTTAAAATCACTCTGAAAATTAAAAAATTTATTAAAAGAAGCACATTTCATACATAAACGTTAAAAAAACAATTATTCTCATATAATCAAAAGTTATAGTCAATAATTATATATCCTTATACAATGTAGCGTCAAATAAAACAAAAACAAAATGCTAGATTGAAGTTAAAAATGCGAAGATAAAAATGTAATATATTTTTTAGTTAATCTTGCCTAATCATGTACAATTAATTTGGTCAAACAACGAAAAAAGAAAAATATTTGTTAGAAAAAATAACTTGTGTTAATACAATAAGTAAATAACACATATATTAAGATTTGATATCAATAGATGTTTCACAAATTGAGTTATCTTTCGCAGTCGTTGAATACTTCAATAAAAATTCTTTAAATTAATTTTGAAATAAGAAAAGTATGTCACCAAAAACAAATATGCTTTCATACATGCCAAGAATTGGATAATATAATTTACTCAACTATAACCAGTCCAATAAACCATAAAGGTCACACATAACGAACTATTGGAATGGTGTATCAACTAACTGCTCATATTCGAATATTTGGATTGCAAAGAATAATTCGCAAATATTCGGTTAATTTGAATTGCTCGCTCGCTTATTTATGGATAATCAAATTATTTGAAAAATTCGAACTGTTTTAACAGCATTATTAATATCAATTACATTATGTCAATACCAAAGATATGACACATTTTCATATTGAAATGAACTGCTATTATAATATTAACAAAGTTATTTTTTCTTAAGAAAATTATCACTAAGCTATAACGCTGAGAATTTAAAATTTTGAAAGCGATTACTTTGAAACGTGACCAAATGATATATACATACAATATATTTTGATTGGTTTATTTGAAAATATCTGTTCATATATAAACTTAAGATGTATTGCAAAAAAAAGGAACTACAAAGAAGAAATTAAGTGTTTTACCTTTTTTTTGGACAGGACATACAAAAAATCCTTATTCGGCGACATCATTGTATCTTGTAGAATACTATTTCCAGGATCAATAATTATTTCTTCATATTCACCAGGATTTAAGCCAGATAATAAGACTTTTTTTATTGTTCCCAGTTCAGTACCTAAAAAAGCAAGTGAGTGTGGTCCTGTTGTGGTTGCTGTTACTGATGTTACAGAAACGTTATCGAAATGAAACAATGCTTGTGTAGTAATTGGCGCAACTCCACTTATTTTAAGTCCCACCGAACAAAAGTTGTAAATATTGCCAAGTGACTAATTAATTATACATGTTTATAAATTGAAACTCAACAAATTAAGATTTAATATACTTACACCAGCAATAGGACAACGTCCATCGTTAATAGTTCCAGATATGTAACCTAGATTACGATCTTTTATGGTTCCATTAAAGCACATATGTATATTTTCTGTAAAAATGTCTTCAATTTCTTTTAAACTATATATGCACATTGCAGACTTCGCTTCGGGAAGGTTTGAAATTTCTTTTGATGGAGAAAATATTGAAACTAATATGTGGTCATCACGTTTAATACCCATCTGTTGTGCTAATTTCTGACCAGCCTTTGTAACCTTTGCATCACGCAGTATATTATAATCAATATTATCTTCTGTTGCTTGACACTGTATAGTTATTTCAGAGTAACTATCATAGTTAGAATCAGTTATACAAATACGAGCTAAACGCGTTATATAACCAGCTTCTTCAGCTAAATGTGATTTTTTTTGTACTAATAGAAAATAGGCATAATCCGATGAATTAAAACCATAAACATAGTCAACTAAAAAATGATCACGGTACTTAACATCAATATTTATTATTGACTGCTGGATTGAGAATTCAGCATAATTCAAGTCTTCTAAACGACGTGAAGATATGGCAGGGACATCATGTCTGTAATCGCCAACATTTGTAAACGTAGTTCCAACATATAATATATCCTCTTTGGAATATTTTGAATATTGGGCCGGTCCAATGAAAGCATAAGTTGTTGCGTATTCATCATTAGCTGCCAAAGGTACGGCAATAAACCGTGAATCAAATGGAAAATGCGTAATATTATAAAAATCACATGCACCTAAAAATATATTAAAGTTAAATGTATTTTAATATTTATATACAAACTTATAGCAGTTAGTACCCTGTCTTATGCTACCGCAAGCAATCAAAATGCCATCATCTACAGCACCATTTACGATTAATATTTTATTATAATTATTAACTAAAGATGTTTCAATATCTTCAGGACAACCGCCAGCATGACACTGCGGAGAGTCATTCCTGGGACCAGTTTCTGCTTGATTTAAAACACGTAGGTTTTCGTTTAATTGAAATATTTTGTTTGTTGCACCGGCAAAAAATATATTTCTTTTCCTGTCGTATGCCAGATGTGTGAAGTAATTTTTTCGTTGACTTCTATCGCCTGAATTCGACGAATGCAATGTAGAATTAGGCATATTCAAAGTAGCAGTTGTCGTTGAAATAATGCTTGTGACGGTTCTTTCATTCGTACTGACACCACTTATTACATGTACTACTGGTAAACTGAACTGCGCAGCAATATCATTAGAAATGTACTGTGTCGTTGTTTTATTTAATTCAAATATTGAATTGCTTTTATTGTTTATTATGTCATTGGTTCGAGTTACGGAGGACTCTGACATTTGTATATGAAATAATGCACAACATAATATGTAACAATAAACATAGTAAAAAATCGAATTATTTTTTCTTGGCTGAACGCATAATGATATTTTACTATTGTAAGTACGTTTAACGACCATTTTGAAACTATTTCATTTACATTTATATATGTACATTCAAATATTTGATTATTGTTACAATAGTTCTTTTTTTTCAAATTATTAATTGCATCTTAGATTTTGGTGAAAATATTATTTTAAATCAATTACTAATGAAGATTCTTGATCATTATTATAGTATTAATTCAGTCCTTTGTTCGATTCTAAAAATAAAGAAAATACAATGCATGTATTAAAAAATGTATAAAACCATATATTAGATAAATATTAACTACTAGTTAAAAATGAACTTAAAAAAATAAACCAAAAATAAATGCAAAAATTGAATGCTGCAATTATAATGTTTTACATTATCTACATTACACGGTTAGGCGATTTAAGTGATACCTATTCAAGCGATCATATATTTTTTATGCGGAATTATTTTCTATTGATTCAAAGTACAACAAATTGTGGAAGTAATCCAAATTTCAGAATCATTCACTCTAGCTCGCTGTGGCCAACTTCTACTTTAACTATGGCATTCAAATGGTTAAAAATGAGTTGCCTACTTCACGAATGTGATATCCGGTATTTTGGCCCATTCCTGAACAAGGGCTTTCTTAAGCGTACCCATACTCGCTATTTTTTAATCCTCATCTTGCTATCCAAAATGGCCCAGATGGAAAAGTCCATTGGATTTGTATTTGGCGAATTCGAAAGCCATTGTCTAAACGAAATGAAATGTGGAACCATTCTTAGTTAACACGAACTTTATAAGACCGAGATTGGTGCCGAGTCTTACAACGTCCATGGTCCGAAATTTTTGCATGATCACGACTCTAAAGCAACTTCCAAAATATTTCTTTGATAATAGGTTAGGTTAGGTTCAGCGGGTGCTGACAGTTGTCAGCACTTTCACTCGCAGACATATATTACCCATTGTGATGCCCTCAAAAATTATACCAGGAGAGGCGTTGCTGATCTTTATTATCCTTGTTAAATCATTTGATTTCCCAATAATAAATCATATTGACGTTGACACCAGGGTCGATAAAAATGATTGGATAGCGTTCATCGTCGGTCACAGCTGCCCATACCATTATTTGAGATAGAAAATTACTTCGGGTGGCCATTCGTAGTCCCAAATTTTTGGTAATGCGTTTACTTAAGTAAACACGATCATTTTGAGAGTTTATGAACTACTCAATGGGGAAATTTTTCTCATCAGAGAACATAATGTTTGAAAATTCGCCACGTTCGTGCAAGCGTAACAACTCCTTTGCTCTTTCGAACCTAATTTTTTTTTGTTTTGGTGTAAAATCGTGTGCCTTGAGGTCATTAAGGAATATGCGTCGGATGCTTCGCTAAGATATTTTTAGTTTTTCGGCCCGTTGATTATCACCAAAATGTGAATTTCATTTAAGTCAAGCCTTCACTTTTTGAACCACTTCAGGTGATGTTGCTTTTTTTTTTCGTCCACCACCATAGTGCTTGGTGACACTGCTTGCACTATTACAACCATTTATGGTACAACACACAAACATTTTATTCACTTTGAGGTTTTGAGCTCGCGAAAAATTGCTAATAGTGATTTTCCAGCCAAATATAACTCAATCACACTATTATGTTTAAATTCCGAAGTAAATTTTGTTATATAAAATTTAGACGCAAATGCTTGTAGTAGCGTGGTTGCTACGTAGTAGCTTGTAAACAATATAAACGGCTGTCATTACTATGAATTTCACGTAGTTGGTAATATCAGTTTGACATATACACCTGTGTGTATATAATTGGTAACACTTTAATCGTCTAACCCTATATATTGATCTCCGAATGTTAACAGACCCTATATGAGTAAATATCGGTTTCGAATGGAATTAAATGTTATTATTTACTCGCAGTTAAATTAAAGTTCTAGGTTCAAAACCCATACTAGTAAAGTTTGCCATAAGCATACATTTACATGCAATAAATTTGCATTTAATAGGATCCGTGAGGAGTGATAAACTGTTATTGCAGAACGTCACGAATAACATTTGATCCGTTTGAACCATATGTTGAAGGGGAAAAAAACGTAAAGCGAATTTGCTGCACAACAATGCTTGACCACATTTCGCAAGACAAGTAAAAAATACATTGGAAATGGCAAATTCTACCGCATACTCTCTATTCACCAGATTATGCTTAATCAGATTACTACTTGTTCCGAGCAATGCAAAGCATTCTTCGAGACCAGAAGAAATTAAAAATGGCTCGGTAAACAATTTCTTTTCCATAAAAGCCATCAATTTTTATAACCTAACCTAAAATACAGCAATTATTATCCCAGGAATCACTATTACTCTGATTGGTATCGATTGTTTTTTTTTTAAACTGTACCAGGAGATACCCCTATTATATTAAAATTTTTACATTAGCGATAATTACCTGAGCCAAATGTAATAATTTTGCATACAAAGTTATTTAATAAGTTGATGGAAAATTAGAAATTATTCATATATTTTTATATATCAATAACAGCGTTCAAAAAACAGTGCTTTATAGGTATAGCCAATTATAATACATTTCCTGTGGGGTAAGTTAATTCAAATTTATTTGTTAAAAATAAGTATACGTACTTAACATATTTTATTTTCTAAATCAATATGTTCTGTCGCTTTTATGATATCATTTTACAGAAATCCTTGGATCCTTTCTTGATATCTACTAAATCAACTAAATCAAAAGCTCCACATCAAATTTTTTTCAGGTAATTTTGGGTTTTTGAAAACATTAAATTTTTTTTAAGGCTGGCATTTTCTTTTAACACTTAGACATATTTTTTTTGTAGACAGTTACATCTTTTAGAAGCTTTTTGCAATTAATACAGAAACCTATACCCCTGGAAGAATTGTAGGCAGATTATTCGAAATTAACCTCAAAATCACCCTCCAAAGAATTTAATTTGAAAATAGGATATGCACCACTTTTGGTTCACGTATGCCTATATCTAAACGCGCAAACCATTTATTACAAAACGTTAGTAATTGGTGGAAATTTAAATAACTTTAATTTCTCATCATTACAGCGACATCGTCTGTAAGAATGAACACAAGGATCACTTCAAGTTAGATTGGTCATAATTTATATCATTGCTATTCTTGAGAAATGCCACTTTTTTAAGGTCCATGCACTCATGTTATGCAGCAAGTCACTGGCATGTCAAAATTGAATTTGTTGTTGCTTTAAATGTGAATTAAAAAATTGAGAGCGAGAGAGAAATGTCGGTTTAAATTTTGCCGGGGGGCACAAAACATGATATCATGATGGTTCATGATCATTTTTTATATAAGTGTCTCAAACTGTGTTACTTCGAATGGTAGGAATATGAACATTGTAAAAGACTGGTCTTTGTACTTGGCATGTGCCGATGATAAGTGATTTAATAACTGAGTACATAAATATTACTTACAACAACAAATATTATGTAATTGTTAACATGTAGATGTACTACCATATACCAGTAATATATATTACTTCCTTTAAACAGTAACCGCAACCTATTATGACCGAAAATTATAACTGCCGAAGTAACGCTGATAAAGTGAAGCGTAAGTCTAATAATCACGTAATAGAGTGTGCTGAATTTTTTTATGTAAACGTTCGTAACACAATTCATGTCAATTTTTTGACATGAGATTAATTTACTTTTCTATGTGGCGAAACCTTAGATAGCATTAAAACAAATCATATGTGGAATTAGTCAAACATTCAACATAATAACCATAATGTGAAATCAGTTTTTTCAGACAACGGCACTAATATTATGTTTCCACTGCTTACTAAAGTAAGTTACTTAAGTAACTTTGAGATTTTGTCGTTTACATTGGCATAAATTTCTTATTGAATATCTCAGTTACTTATGTGTCAGAAAGTTATGTTAAAGTTTAAGTAGAGCTTTTCTTTGTTTACATTTTAATTGTAAGTAGATGACATTAAATTTTGTATTGTTAGAAAAAAAATAATTCCGCATGGAAAACGAAGAAAATGCAAACAATTTAAAAAAGTATTAACCATTCAATTTTCAGTAAGTTACATTTTAACTTACAATACAGCCTTTTTTATAAACCGCTAATACTCTAATTATTACACTTTCCGATTATAAGGAAAGGCGTAAGTACTGTTGAGTATTGTTAACAATTATTATAAGATAATATAATAACAAATTATTTTTTGTGGTTATTTTTGGTGGCAAATTAAAAGTGAACATATTTCAAATTTCCTTTTAAATCTAGGCACAACCAATAAGTACCAAAACACTGTAAAAATACAAAATTGGCAATAATGATCAGCATAACATGCATTTACGGCATAGTCGGAAAGAGCGAATTTTCCTTGTTCGAGGCACTCTGCATAACATGACCCTAAAAAAGCTCTATGTATGGTTAATGGAATTTAATTAGCAATCTTAAGTGAGTTAACTGGTTTAACGAAGCTTGTGAAAACATACTATAAGTTTGAACTACAGATTACTTTAAGAGCGCTATTCTGACAACAATCACAGATTTACCTCAGTTATTATTATTTTACCACAGTTATTATCACATTTTTCTCTATTAAGTTGCTTAGATATTCGTGCAAGCTTTTTAAGTCTTATTACTACTTTTTGACCTTGAAAATAGCATTTTTTCATTGTATTATGTTATTCAAGTTTGAATTTGTAAATAATCAGTTTTTATAATAGATGCAGTAAAAATAATCCATTATTTTTGCTTGAAATTAAAGTCTTATTGACTATAGTGGAAGGTAATTTCACTATGCCTCTCTCATAGAAGTCCTCCCTATTGGCAAAAAATTGACAGTCGATTTCCATAAGCTTCTTTTGAAGCGAATTTTCTACCAGAAAAACAGATGGTAATCACTTGATGCACCGTCTAAAGTATAAGGTGAAACCAAGCTTTCAGAGCTTTACGAGAGTCATTATCGATGTGTGTGGCGTTGCCATGATGGAGCACATATACTTTTCTATTGCCTAAAGTTTGTCATTTCTGGGTGATTGCTTCCTTAACAATACAGCCCTCAGTTGGGTTTAGCCATAGGGAAGTAGATCATAGTAGATGATTCCCTGCTAATCCCACCAAACACAAACCTAGCTTGGCCACTGTTTCAGCTGGCTCACTGCGATTCGATCACTGTCTTGACACCGTCTTGTAAATGATCCACTTTTCATCACCAGGCACCAACATCTTTAGATATGGGTCGATTTTGTTACAGTTCAGCAGTGGTTCGCAAATGAAAATTCGATCTTTGCGTTAACTTGGGTGACACCTATACATGGAGCTTTTTTTTGTATTCAATCTTATTCAAATAATTTCAAACTGTTTTTTGTACAATTCTTAGCTTGTGGGCAATTGAAACAGTGCTTACATGACGATCGGATCGGATTTTATCGACATTTTCGACAATTGCTCTTCCAGTGCGTGATGC